AAATCGACCACCGTATTATATAATTCGATCAGTTGATATGAGGAACATTTATTTCACTGTAATAATGGTAGAAAATAGTATGTTTATACCTAGTGAAAATATAATATATTTTTGATAATTATAGATCATAAGTTATAAGTTGAACGTATAACAACGTAACCAGCAATGGACACCATAAAAATAATACTATTCGATAACTTTTATCAAAAAATCATTTGATATCAGACATGTAACATAATATTGTACTCAATTAGTTGTTTTCATTCGATAATAGATAGTATTAAATTTTTTGACTTTACATCACTCGACACACATTAATCATCAGTTTGGTTTTATAATAAACTTATAACTATAAATGTATAAATTTTATAAAATCTATGGTATAACGTATAACAATCGTCCATTGTACATTTGTACATAATTAGTGATTACCCACCTACTAAAAAACAAAACGAACTTTTTATATAATATAATATCAAATTGATTACATATATAATAGGTACAACGTATGAATTTATAATCTCAAATAATTTTTTTAGATTTGGATTGATAATCCCGTTTAATATGCTAGAATATAAAAATTTAGTAAAAAATTTAGGTCTCTAATATTGAATTATGACAAAAAATAAAATCGATTTAATTGAAAACGAGTTTTGCACAACAGTTGCAAGTGATTAGATCTTATCTTAAAAGATTTCTAAYTAATTAAAAAATCATTTATGAAATAGGTAATTATTAAATGATTAGTCTAGACAATACGTGTGGACGTGTGGTCTCTAAAGCAGTAACGCTTCAGTTGTATAACTCTGTGATTGGATTAGCAATTAATATTGAATATTTCTGTTGAGCTATATTCAATTAATATTTAATAGTCAAAGAATTTGCTTTCAAAATATCGAAATTGAGAGATTGATGAACTAAGATTACCTTCCACTACCATGTAGTAGTGCACTTAGAAAATCTTTTCCAAAACTCACATTTTAAAGAGTTGTAAGTAGAATTGTTTTGTACATAAATGATTACCATTGTTTACAGATAATAATAATAATAATAATAATAGTAACAATTAGGATTTTTTTTATAAATAGCTGTTTACAATTTATTGATATAAAACAAAATAACTGTTATCATTTTAAATTTTAATTAATATTTGGTTTCTATATATTTACCTTCACGGATTTAAATCATAACCGTTTAATTTTTAATATTTTTGCTGACAATTATTACCCGTTAACGATTCGTTAATCGRACCAAAAATAATAAACGTTAATTGAACCAAGTTTGAATTATAATCTAATAAGAGTTGGCTTTTTACGGAAAACAAAGTGCACGGGATCACCTATTTATTACCTATATTTGTATACAGTAAAGTAGAGGATGATAAAAGTTTCAAACCCTGATACAGTGMTACTCTGTCGCAGTTGGTTTAACACATATTAATATTGTCAAAAACATTATTATAAATTATAATATGATCACGTGGATTACGCGATACTTGGACTGTTCCCTGCAGCCGTAAAGAGGGAGCAAGCCGCAAGACGGTGCAAATCGGGCGTGATTTTATGCTACATGACTGTTATTATTATATATGAATATTATGTATTAAGTTTAGGTAGAATGACTGGGACGTTCTATCGTCGTATATTCTGTTATGTCACTCCCGACTGTAATATAAATATTATGTTTATATAATATATATATATATTGTATACTATAGTAGTATACATAGGGACACATGGTGAAAGTTTATTCTTTTCTTCCGGTTCTTCCGATACGTGCTCCGACTGGTATCGTTATGTCTGCCGCCGCCGCTGCTGCTGCAGTATAATATTTATTATTATTTTAAGTCTCGTCGCTGTCCGATCATGAGCGTCAACGCGATACCGATGGCCGACCGGCCTTTTCTATCGGACTACACCGACGACCAAAATGATATGGACGTGTTCACGTTCATGTTTTTCGCCTGTTGCTTTGAACTGTTTTTGTTTAAGTTTTTCTCCGCCTCGGTCTGATGTCATTAACATGATCATATAATAATAATAAATAATAATACTATTAATACTACTACCGGCAGAGTAGACGTCGCAAACAACAAACGCCGGTAATCAAATAATAATAATAATCGAAACAACGCGACGACACAATAATATTAATATCATCAATCCATTATGTGGTTTTGAGTGTTTTTGACTATTATAATATACGTATACTATATAATCACCGCTCGTGACACGTCAAACTCACAGATAACCAAAGACAGGTTATATTATTAATGTTATAATGGCTTGTTTTCGATTTTCAGACATAAACTGCTGTGCATCCAACAGCGGGATATTTTAAACACCAAATTAAAAGCGAAAGTGGCGTCCAAGGCGGGAAATGATCGTAAGTACACTCATGCATTTCACTAAAAAAAATATGCATAACTTTTTTTTACAAACTTGTTTATGTGCATAATCAAATTTTGTCTACTTTATATTTTAATAATCATCTACGGATCTACATTTACAATAAAGTATTTTGACATTTTCTTAATAGGTTTTTATAATAATTTTTCAGTTTATTTCAGTATGACAATATTGCATTTAATAATATAGTATATGTTTGTAAAACTGTTAGTTTTATGTTTTACAGAAGATAAGTTTTTTGAAGTCCGCGATTATTTGGAACGGCTAGTGGAAGGGCTGGTGGACGGAGGCCTAGATGACGTATGCCTCACACCCCTGTCCACCCACCCGCTGTGTACGTAAAATAAATTTTCTGTACTTCTATAATATATTATATTTAATGTTAAATAATTTTTTTCCGGCCTATAGACATGTCAATATGTTGGAAGTACCACGAACAGTTGGCTACCACGCTGACAGAAGCCATACACTCCATCATAAATGGTATAGGTATTTATTAATCATATTTGTCCAAACGGATCGTTAGGATCTATTAAAAACATATTTAGCGCATTCGAAAGTAAAAAATGAACGGTTTGTCTTCTTATTTAAACATTTGGCASTGTATACAAGTATAATCTATAGCAGCGGTGGCCGCTATATTATTTTTGGTTCACTGCTTATATATACCTTAAACGTTAATATTTCAATCCAATATAATTTGTTTTTCTGTACATAATATRCACCTAACCTATATTATATTAGTATACGTTTTTCTTTTAGAGTCTGATGAGTTTGACGRCATTCCCATAAAATTAAATACAATTTTGGAAGAAGTGTCGCATGACGTAGAACATCTTCCAGAGCTACAGGTCAGTTTTTACAGTGAATGCTTTTTCTACCTCAATATTTTACTTTATTTTAAATATCTATATCATAAAAAAAGCTGCTAATATTTACTTAATTTTCCAAGTAATTTAATTACCACAATAACTAATTAATAAATTATTATTATTATTAATTAAATACTTAAAAGTTAGAAGTTAAAACTTTTTATTATTTAAAATAGTTTTGTAAATTGTATGGTCCATATATTTAATTACAATGTGCAACAGAGATGTCCACGTGAGCTGAAGGGGAGAATCCTTACCCTCCCAGAAAAATCAACAAAATTTTAGTTTTTATTAATATATAACTTAAAAGTATAAGTTATATTATAACTGTTATAACACACATATAATATAGGATATTGTTTCTGATCCTAATTGACTTTTATGGATTCTGTGAATTCACTCTCTAATAATACTTATACTATAAAGAAACAATGTACAGTTCAAAAATCAAAATTACCTAGATAGTTATAGACGTATAGTTACCATATTTTAAATTCGTCTAATAGGTGCGTTGATTTTCATTTTGTTAATATTACTCATTAGTGTGCTACAAATGACGCTATGCTTGCCATATTACTTCGTTTTTAAATATATATTAATAGATTGTACATTGAGTATAGCGATTAGCGACTACTTACGTGAATCTCTACATAAAATGCAACGTGCAACAATTGCACCCGATACACTATACCGTTGCAACTATATAAAGTTCTTATATTATTGTTTTTCATTTATTAACATTTCAAATAGGTATAAGTTAGACGTCAGATTTATCTATTACTTTTTTCGTTATACATATAACATTGCACAAATCACCAAAAAAAAATTTAATGATAAATGATCCTWGCTGACGAWATTTCGTTAATTAAGTAAAATAAACTTCTCCTAATAGAACAGTTTAATGCAGAGTACGCATTTATTATAACGAATCATATTTTCATAAACTGAGTATTTTAGTTTACCGGACACATAATTTCAGGTAATTCGGTTTATCATAGGTCATATGACTAAGTGTTTTATTTTTGTGTTTGGGTGGTTAGGGGCCCCCAATTTTTGTATAGATCGATTGTCTTATTTGGTGAATAAACGATACAGGGACGGGTGGCAGTATTGTGCTGAACAGTTCYCAACCGCGCGTTCCTGGTTTTTGAACAGGAAAAAAAAAAGCTCATACCTATGACTAAACATGTCATTCTTATATGTGCTGGTTAGGTTAGGCTAACCTAATACGAAATAATAAGAGGACTAGACTATTATTTTTAACATGTAGTATTGTTTTAACCAAAAAAATATAATATGTATGTTGTAATATTTTAAATTTGTGGTCATTATAATAAGGTTATGTTTTAATAATCAAATGTATAAGGCGTATAGGCAGTAGACAGTATGTATTACGTTGGATTGCATAATCGTAATACAGTAATTCTTTTCCAAAAATTTGGTTAAATACACAAAAATTWTACAATTCAAGTTTTTAACAAATTTTCTCTATTAAGTAATATAACTAATACACATTTTAATGGTCGACGGCCAAGTAAAATGGTGAGTAGTGATTTAAAAAATTGGATTGTCGCCACTGATGATCACAGATCAAAATGTGAATTATCCCTTTTATATACCTGCATATATATTATATTAATAACTGTAAAAAATTGTTTTTTGATAATTGATTATCTATGTTTGGGCAAGAATGTTTTTAATAATATGACTGTAATCATAAATAATAAATTCAAACCAAGAGTGAAAAATTAACTTTGATTTATACCAC